CTGAAAGCAAAAGTAGATCAAATAAATATATTGTTGTTTCCTACTACGCAATTTATCCCCCACCCCCCAAAAATATCTAAACATGGCTGAATTTGAAAGAATACGAGTTCACATAGTTAACAATTGCATGGTTGTACTGAAAGCAAAAGTAGATCAAATACGCGAATTTGACAGAAATGGAGTCCACAGCTAACTGAAAGCAAACGTAGATCAAAATTATGGATTGTTGTTGCCCGTTGCAGAAATTATTTTCCAAATAAAATCCGATCAAATTATCAAGTTTGGATATAATAAACCTGGAAGCCTGCTCAGTAGAAACTAAATTAATTATGACTTTATAGAACGAATAGTCATTAAGAACAATAAAAAGTCAGCCATTGTGGTTTTCTATAATAACAGTCCCTGATTAAAACGAAACGAAATGATTAAGATGACAGTTTCCAAGACGATTATCTCTCGACTTAAAGACAAAGAAAGAAGCTCAGTGTATCTCCTCGACGCAAGATGGAACGCTCATCCGCGGTAAAACTTCATTTTGAACCAATTATTTAATATTGTGTTCCATTCCAATTCGCCTTAAGATATAATAAAAATCCTCTTATAAGGGCTATTGCTATTTATGAATCATAATTCTTAATAATCTATCCAGTTCGTCGTTTGATGAGCACGTCAGACAATTGACCCAAAACTAATTTCAGTCACCTGTAGCAAGGAGGCGAACAAGTTGAACAAATTGAGCGAAGATATTTTCCGTAATTAAATTTACCTGCATCGACAAATAAGAGCGTTGAAGTAGGGGATTGAGCGCAAGGCTAAGACGAGAGAAAATTGAAAACCCGTAATATTTCGTTATTCGCTAAATCGCTTCTCACCACGCGACACCGCGTTAAGCCAATTTCTAATTTATTTCTAAGCCGGCGCAATAGAAAGGAGGTTGTACGAGAAGGTCATTCTCGGTGATTCAAGAATTTCTTGGCTTATTAATTAATAACTTCAGCCTCTATAAGCAGATGTTCTCTAAGTTTAATTCCGCATACAGCACAAACTATTAGTTATCACAAAAACTCAATATTATTATTATTAAATGGAATATACTAATACACACGAATTCACAAAGCTGTTGCCGTTCAATACATTAGAACTAACGTTCAGAAAACAATACAAACTTTATTTATCAAAAATATCTTATCAATGCCACTCTTATCATTTAGTAATACAATATACAAAAATCAAGAAAAAAAAAAGAAATCAAGAATGTATTTATCTATATTATGAAATGACAGAACAGCTATTCCATTGTTCAGAAACATAGACCTGTTAATTTCTCATAATGGAAATCACAAAATCAATTTTGTCGCATGGGTCAATGAAAAGAGCTTTATTTATCCTCAAATATTTCAACTATTTCCGATCAAAGTACTTCATTTATTACTAACGCCTTAAAAACGTATGAATGCTAATACAAAAATCACATATCTTTTATTCGTTATACTAATAAATCCATAAAAATTTATGGTTGAAGCTCCTAAGAGATTTTCTAGGAGGACTAAACGCCCTCTTTATAGTCAAGCTAACTACGGGAGATCACTTATAAATAAAACAAAACGTTTATCATGCAATTTATACTGGAGTTTTATTCAAACTACATCACTAAATAATCCATATAAATCCAGAGTGATATTTCAGTGAAAAAATAAAACTTGTTTTTTTTTATTATCAAGTGGTTTATTTCATGAAGATACTTCGGAAAATATATATAGTTTATTAATTCGATTTGTTTCTCTGAAATTTTGTTATTTGACTGTATATTTCTTGTTTTTGAATATGTGAAATTGTTAACCTCGAACGTTACTATTAAAACCATAGAATTTACAGTCTTGTCTTCGGCAATCAAGTGATATGGACGGTAGACAAATGTGTACAAAATATACAGCAACAGTTATCCCTTTTTGAAAACACAGAAGAAGTGAGAGAGAGCACTCGACACAAACTAGGTCATTTCGGGACTAACATATGTTTTAATTTTATTCCAATTATTCGCTTGCGCGTATGGGTCTTTAGCAGTGGGAGGAAACCGGAGGAACCGGAGAAAACCCACGAGGTTGGACAGGCGACCCTACTCCTTGCCACGTACAACCGAGGATTTGAAACTACACCGGTTGACTCAATGACAGGCTTTATGACACAGCGCGCTACGAGCTAACCATTCGGCCATCCACCCCCCAACCTCCCCAAACACAGACGTATTAACGAAATAAAATTAAATGAAGTTTAACATCCTATTTTTCTGAGCGGTGCTAAGGCCTCGTCTTATTTCGAATTACAACTGTCATGGGTTCTTTTACGTGCACGCCAACATGCACACATAACCTGTTGTCAAATGTGTTGAGACATAATTATATTTCACTGTTATTGTTGTTTCCCATTCTGTATATATTTATCTACCATCCACATATTTGTATTATCAAGACACGAGTATCCTTGTTGAAATATTGCACAGTAATACATTTAGATGATTGTGTATCCATAAAATTATACTTTGTGTCCGCGAATATAAGTGTAATCTATGTTTACAAAACGTACAAAAAAACCAAATGACAGTTCTTACTGAAATAATACAATAAAGTGTGGCAAAACATCTGCCTGAAAGAGTACCTTTGAACTCCAAGAACACAGTACACTGAACATCTTAGTCACAAGGTCCAAAGCTGAAAATGTTGCAGAATAATTTGTTATTTTTCAAAAAAAATAATTTCTTGGACGTGTTTAAACTGTCTTAATTAAAATGCCAACATGTGAATATTACATATTTGTCATGTTTTATGTTAATTTTATGATCCAAATGTTCATTTAATGAAAATATCTAATTTGTCAATGTTACCATGACAACACCGCTCTCGTAAGTACATCGAGTGCTATTTTATGACCGTGTTTTCGTGTGTGTCAAAGGACCTTAATGATAGAAAAACCCTAATATTGTTTGATCTCAGGGCATAACAAATAAAGACCTAATTAGCAAACAGAAGTGACATCAGATGTTTTGGATATTTAAGTGTATATTATTTCATTATAAAATGCAAACAATGTCCATACACAGGTCTTTGTGCATAAAATATGTATGCATGTACATGTGTATATGTAATATCGCACCCTAACAGAAGACGTTTATTAATTTCTTATCTACCGTGTGGAAGCTTTTCAAAGGAGTGAACAAATGTATTCAAGTGAAATATTCGACATAAAAGAGTTTGACCCAAAGTTTACCTATGGAATAAGACTGGGGTTTACCTATCTAAGCCTTCTCTTTCACTTGTTTATGTCCGACATCTTGTTTTAAAGACTACGTATATCTGTTTAAAATGTAGACCTATATTACCATTCACAAGACCACTAAATAGATGCTGAATTATTTCCTAACAAAACAGCTTAAGTATAATATCCCTTACTCAGAAAACACTATACATTTTTTCTTTTATTGTTCCCTGGCTTTGATGTAGCCGATGAATGCAAGTCAACCATGCAGATGCCTTCGATGTAAAATACCTACTCTGTAGGGGTGCTATTTGCATCTACACCGATTTTATATAGCTCGCTAGGGGCCTTCATCATCGTTTGAAAAGCCGTCTTGATTTTCAATACAAGGAGCGCTGTTACCCTAACTTTTCTAATTTTTTTGTTCAGTAAATATTTTTAACAATTTTGTTAAGATGCGTTTTAAAGAACTTGACTGTGTTATATTCCTCTTAAAAGTCGACTTTTTCGTATTTCGAAAGGACAACGAAATAAAGGGAATATTTAAATATGTTCCAATGAAGCTATTCACATTGTTTTGGTAACACGTGAATCAAACTTGCTACACAAAATGTGTTTGGGACAACAATTTATATGGAAGACTTGAATGAAAGCAATAGATTAAGTGAAGTAAGAAATGAAAGTCATTGTTACTTTTACGACATTTTCCAATAGATCTTTCACACAAATCAATCAATGGCAGTTTTCATAACGGGGACATAACTCTATTTAGCAAAACATATGAACTGCACGTTCTATTTCATGCAACAATGCACATTTAATTTCAGACTGGAGTTGATTTTTGATGCAGTTTTATTGGTATACCGCATTACTGGTTCAATAATCAGAAATATTTGTTTCATGAATAAGTAGAGTGACGTCATATTAATTTTATAAAAAATTGTCTGCAGCCGAGTACTATTTGTAAAGTCGACTTCTGTTTGGGTAGAAAAATGTTATAGTTTTGTTACAGCTGTTGTAAATGGATGCAGCTACGTCTACGTCGTTCCTATTATCTCCAAATCAATATCTGTATTAGAAAAAAATCACGCTCTCTGACTTCAGTGAATAGGATTCATCAAGGCTACCAAGTTAGGCATTGTGAGCGAATACTGGTTAGAACATTGAGCTTCCGTTAGCAAGCCAACATAAAAACATACAATTGACAAAACTACTACTTCTTATATCGTAGTGTTCTACAGTTTAATTAATTTCAATTAGATCGAAGTATATCACATAATTGATCCATTTTATTGGAAACACAACTGAATCGCTGTGTACTATGTGCAGATTATGTATTTTATATTTAATTCGTTTTATATTGCTTTATCAGTTTATCAATATCGGATAGTTTTGAAGAATGCTGAACCAAAGGCTCATGTTTTTAAGGGTTTTTTTTAAAAGAAGAAATTACACAACAGGAGGACACTGGAAAAAACATAAAATAGCTGATAGTTTTAAAGAATATGAAAAAATAACCGAACCCAAACAGTAATTAAACACATAAATGAGGAGTGGTGTGGTAACTATTTGTTTATGGTGCTGAACCAATGGCTGGTGTTTTTAAGGAATTGTAGAAGAAAATAGTCCGAAGTACGACACTAGAAATAACTGAAGGAATACGACAATTTTAGGGGTTTTGGAGGTAGAATATGTGGATAAAAGACAACATATATTTCTTTAAAAATCAAAATCAAAGCTCTACTCACACTAGGAATAGTTTCTTGGTTACAAACTCCGTCTGCCAAAAGTCGATCTCGGATTTCCCAGGCGAATATTGAAGGGCATTCTCTCTTATACTGAGCCACCTTTGAACAGACATCATTTGTAGCTACCCGGGGTTTGCTGCCACCGATGGCGCGGGGTCGAATCGAACCCGTTTCGTAATATCGTCCTAAAATTTTACTAACACATCCGTTGGACACTTGAAGAATGCGGGATATGTCACAAGGTCGAGCTCCGCTGTGGGCCAACTCAACAATTCTTTGTCTTGTAGAATCTGGTAACGGTCGACCGTTGACGAATACACCACCTAACTGATTAACACCAGAATGTCCTGAAAATACCAAAAACATCAAACATTTTAATATTCCATAAAAAGACAAACTCCACAAATTACGTGGTATCTAAACCCCCAACTTCAAGCCGACCCATTTTAATTCCCTTTTAAATAAATAACTAAAAATAGACTATCACTTAATAAATACATACACCAAGTTTGAACATTCTAGCTGAATTCGAAGGAGAGTTTTTGTGTCCCAAAAAGTGTGACGGACGAACGGACGGACAATAGGCGGGCAGAAACAATAATAAAGTATTCCTTGGATTGAGGATTTCCTGTTATTTCTATAGAATCATATTTTATTAATTATGGAAACATGGAGACCTGTAGAAGCATGTAGACATGTTGGGTATAAACGGGAGATTAATAACCATCAACGTCATAGATCAATGTGTATTTCTAACGACATGACATACTCATATAATACACACGTCACACAACATGACACTCTGCTTTTAATTCTTTACTATTATCAATATTCCTCATTTATTTTCACTTCTTTTCGGATCATTTTTCCCGTATTGATTTTTGATAAACTGTCAGATTTATAGTCGAGAATATAGTTGTTATGTGTTTGAACCTTTTCTTGTTAAAGTGACATCACGGGCTTTTGCGTTCCGTTTCCGGCGCCCATTTCTAGCTTTAGTTGTACCCTACTTATCTTAATATCGCATTAATTTTGCATTGATTATTTGCCAAAAGATAAGAGCTCGGCATTAAAAAAGGAGTAATATTAGTGGTTTTTGTTTAATTTTCGTTGCCGTTTCATCTTATTTCATCTTTGGATCAACTCGTTGATTTCCTTCCGGTATCTGACAATGATCACAGTAAGCTGGCCTTTTCTAACCAACAACCTCTTTTTGTGTTACAAATTAAAATTAATTGATATTACAGACTTGAAGTAGAATTATGGTTTATTTCTTTACCCATTTGGATTCCGGAACTTCATAAATGATGGTATTATATATTCCCATTATAAAAACGAAAATAATTGTATCGTTTTTAGTTGCTGCCATTTTAATTTAAATAAACAGGAACCGCACATGCAACAAAAACATAAGACATTTCTCGATAAGAAAGCTGGTATTAGATCTAATTATAAAATACTAATTAGAAAACATTAAACCCATCAGGATATCAAGAACAAAAATGGTACTTCCGGTTGCTCCCCAGATGGGAGACCGCATGACTTCCTGTTTATGTCACGAGCGCCATCTTTAGTTAAAGCACATCTCAGCACCTCGGGTGCATAAAGAGAAGTTGGTGTCAACTCTACATTAAATCTAATTTCCTTGTATTGGCACTAGAAGGCTGGAATGACATGGGATGAAGGGAGGACAGCCTCGGGTCAAACAGCAACGCGTGCTGCCGAGAAACACCGTCCATAAAAACCAACAAAATCGTCTTACATCTAACTATCATATGTTGTCTGAACAAACGTGTTTTGTTTATATATGGGGGCCTATGCTCCCGGCAGTTATTGTGCAGTCTTGAAGTAGGAAGGCAGCGAGAAAGACGGGGCTTTGCCAGTAGCACTCCAATCTTTTAACATTCTAACCCCTTGTCTGTTTATTCACCACCCAACTCAATGCCATTACTCAAAGGGCCAATCGAACACACGACCCCAGAACATTTAATCAGTATAGAGCCAGAAGAGTGATGTTCGTGAGGGACCCGTGTCATCCTCAAACAAGAAAAGAGAAAGAGAAAAATAAATCAGCAACACATTATGAGGTGGTTTTTGAGGAGGCTGTATCCTCCAGTCATTGCGGTTTACAACATCGTCATTGTGGCTTCCGTATTGTCTGCTTTAATTTAAATTTTTCAAAATAGCGTACTCTTCAGCCATATAGTTAATGATTAATCGCATATGGTAATGCGATTTTATTGACAGTAATTATTAAAAACTATCTAATTTTGTTTTGATACTTTGAAAGGGGTCGGTTCCCCAATCCCTTTTCAGATACAAATCTGAATAAAATATTGTTTATAAAAAACACAATTCTGTATTAATTACGGTTTCTTTTCAATATGCGTTCTTTCTATTGGCGATACCCATGTTACACGTGGGTGTGAAACAGCACACTCTAATAACAAATATATTTCAAAAACAGTGCAAACCACATAAGTGATAAACAGAATGACTTTACACTGTCTGATGTCTCGTACTCGACTATAATTTTATGTGATGAATGAGTATTGTTATAATAAACTGCACTGTTTTACTTAAGGTGAGGCGCTGAATCCATTTATATTCATGATTTAGTGGCTGGTTACAGCATATGTCTAACTTAATGACCCACAACACATCTGTTGTACGATACTCTCACTGCATTATAAGCCTTACATTTCGCAGTTTAAATCACATCAAATGAGCTGTATTCATCATTTCTAAACTAACTAAATGATTATATATAATATGGATTCAATTTAATTTTTTACGACCAAGCATAAAACATCAACCGAGGTTTGGTAGCCTGTATACAGACCGGGTTCGTTTCTGACATTCGACTTGAGACCTGGGCCCTTCGTGCATATCAGTATGAATCTTCTTAAAATAGAACAATGGGAATATCCTAAAAACAAATCAGTAGGGATATCCTAAAAATAAAGCCGTGGGAATATTCTTAGTACAAATCAATGAGAATATCCTTAATAACAGAACAGCGAGAAAATATCCTTAAAACAGAACAGTAGGGACACCCTTAAACAGTAACATTATCCTTAATAATAGTACAGTGGATTCGCAATAACGATCACTGGGAATATCCTTAAAACAGAACAAGGAAATATCACCGAAACAGAACCGTGGGAATATCTTTAAAATAAATCAGTTAGAATATTCTTAAAATAATAGTACAGTGGGGTTGTCTTTAAAATCGTAGTGGGAATATCCTTAAAATAAAACAGTGGGAATATCCTTAAAAAGTGCAGCGGAAATATCCTTAAAAGAAAACAGCGGCAATATCCTTAAAATAGTGTAGTGAGAAAATCCTTACACTTGTGTACACTTGTTGTTAGTATATAAAATCTACAAAGATTAATGGTTGTTTTCACTTTAGAAGAATAATGAATGGGGTTTAAAATTAATGACGTTGCTTTGTCGAAAAATTTATGAAAATGTTCATGGAAAAAAACATTTTTGCTATCATTTGTAGTAATTGTTTATTGCAATAGTTTTAGCATTGCAAGAGATTTTCATGGATTATTCGAGAACCCATTGTCATAGATTTATGAACAACACATACATGTACTAATCTTCTAAAAAGCATCATATGTAACAAATTGTTACAGATCTATTGTATGTAAGTTTTCTTTTAAATTACAAAATTCCCATGGTATATTCTCATTGATTCGGGTGTGTTATGACCCATAAACACGTATTTTGAGGTAATTTTATTGCCCGTAACCTGTAAAAATACATTATGGTACACCGAGAAAAGAAAAAAAGAGTTGGGATAGATTAAATGGGTTGAGATAGATTACAGGGAGTTTATTGATGTTTTAAGTGATAACAATTGTCCGTTAGCTACTAACCTATAAAGATGTCGAAAGATTGTGAATGTCCGCTAAAACGACGATGGCTGATAACTGATGTAGTACAATAGACCGAACCATGTCAATAGGAGAGATATTGGAAGATAATGACTAGCTAATGATAGTACTATCTGATTACCTTCTCCATGAAGCCTACTGGTAACTGCTGTTGCAACCCCTTCATTAATGATGGCTCAATTAATGTCTGTCAACACGGGGTTGATCCTACAGTTAGTCTAATGGATACCTCCATCATTTAATTCCTCCCAACACCGTGCACTCTTCAAACGATGCAATTACTGCACTCACCATTTAAACATGCTTCCACTTTATTTTGAAATCGCATTTGACTGTAAATTTCGGACAATTCTTCAAGAGGTCGATAGGAATATTGGATCCGAGGTTTTTAATTTTTGTTCAATATTAATGTTTAGTGTGGTCTAGATGGGCGGTTACTCAGAAATAAAAATTGCTATGGATATAAAATTGACAGTCCAAACAGAAATCTCACAGGAAAAGCTACTCGTGAAGATTTAGAAGTGTGTCCTAACTACCATTGTCAATCACAATGTTGTTTTTTTCAAGTGATATTTTTTTTCCTTTTAAAATCTCGGCATGTCATCAAACATTGATGTCAACAAGTCAAAACATGCACACACAAGAAAGTTTTAACAGCTCTTTATAGCCTCGTTAAGTTGGTCAAGTTTAGGGTTAAAATAAGTGGGAAGTATTGTATGCCGAGGAGTAGCAGCATGTTGAGATGTCCATCTCTTGTAGTTGATACTCCTCTAATTGACTTGTCCAGTCGGGTCAACAACAGATTAGTGGAGATTAGAGCTGATGGGGCCATTGTGAACACATTCCCCCTTATCATCGTCCACAGAAACCCTCGCTTCTCAATCAAGTCATCAACTTTACACAAAACATCGAGCTGGGCTGCCACTAGCTGGAGAGACGAAAACAGCAATAAATCATCCCCGTCTATTGTTATATTTTTTTGAGGAACGGTCGTGGGCAATGGATGATCCCTTATATTTCGTCAAGCAAACCGCGAAGCTCCTTTATATTTGAAGGTATGTACTATGAGATTGTAACATATCTGTTAAAAGCCATTTTTCACCTCTATATTGTATTGTGACAGGTTGACTATAAGGCTTCAAACATCCTTCACGACACCCTTCTTTGAAATTCGAATCGTTGCGCACCACGTGATGCATTCTAAGCTCTCTTGTTAAGGAGGTAGAATGTATACCAGCAGTGTTTTATGACGCACGTGGTGTATGGGACGTGAAATTGATGAAACTGGAGAATAAAGAAACAATTGGTCAATCTGTAATTTATGGAGGGGTGTTATGTAGTTCGCTGGAGATGAGATATTATCACACGTGTGAAGTTTTATGGGAAAAAAGACAAATTTGTTAGTCTAATGACTTAGGTCGTAAAGGGCTCATGAACAT